TACGGATTATTTCTCAACGAACTTTAATAGTGCTTTAAGTATATATTCAGAGGTTACTGTTAAGATTACCAATTATCTGAACAGCCGGAATTGAAACTACTACATTACAATCTTACTAATATTATAAATGCGAATTTTTGGATGGATGGTTGGATGTTTCTTAGAAGGTATCTCCAGAACGGCTGTATGGGTTACCTGGAAGAACAGATTTGCTACTTATAAATTTTTCTTTAAATACCGCGCGGAGTCGCGGCGTCTAGTCTTTGGAATAAAATAGAAACAAGTGAAATTTTATAGATTTTAAATAACCAAATATTATAATACCCATTTACACTTAACGTTAGCGAAATTGTTTAATTAAGGTGAAAAGAGGTCTAGTTTTAAACTTAAGCAACCCCGTATCATTAATCCGTTTGCATTAAGTTACTAAACTTAAGCTTAATTACAACATTGTGTGGGTGAATCGAGATGTCCCGAACTACGCCAAACCGAAGCAAGATGACTGAATTACGACTTGTTCAAGCAAAAACCGGTATTAATTAATTTGATTGTGAGATAAGTGGAAAACGAAGTAACATGTCTAATGGCTACCAGTTAGCCGATGGTCATTCCACGTGAAGAATCCTTTCGTTTTAATTATATTGGACAAGTGTCAAGTAAGCTTGTAACCCACGCTGATTTTCAATTACCAGTCTTTTTTTCTTTTAACAGTATAAAATAAAAAAAGTATTATTGTTTTGTATAAAAAATTGTAAATTAAATACCCGAGGGAATCTTTTTGCATCAGTTAAGAAAATATTTGGAAAGGGAAAAAACATGCTAAAATCGTAGGTAATTGGTTTCAATTCATTCCTTTTTTTACAACCATGTATTTCAATTTTAAATAACAGATAAATAGGAAACATTTTTATGACATGTGGGTACTAAATCTTACTAAATGTTTGTCGTTGATAAAATTTACAATGAAATTTAAAAGGGTTTTTCAATCTTTAATTTACTTTAGTAACATTTCGTCACGCTTTTTTACAGTAATTTATGTAGTAATGTATTATAGTTAAAATATGTGAGAAAGTGTAGCAACGCTACCTACGCTACGTAGAATTAAAAATTATAAACATACTCGTACATTAAAATATAAGAAACTCTTTTTGGATTTCAAAAGCATGCAAATACAGGGGTCTAGGCTCCGAAAATGATTTTGTCCCATTCGGCGTCGAGACCCTTGGTCCGTGGGGTCCTAGCGCTTTAAGACTTTTTAAGGACATATCCAAAAAATTTATCGACATCACAGGGGACCGAAGAGCTGGCAGCTACCTCGAACAAAGAATTAGTTTAGTTGTCCAAAGGGGGAACGCTGCCAGTATCTTCGGGACCTTGCCTAAAGGGACTCCTTTTAATAATATATTTTAGTAAAGTATTAGTAAAGTTTTTTAATATTTTATTTTATATCATAGTTTTATGACTATTCATTAGATTATTTGTTAGTTTATTGTTAAAATTGCATTAATAATACAAATAGTTAATGACATTTAGAACAAAATTGTATTTTTTTTATTAAATGAAAAAGCGTAACAGCGTAGCATATTATTCACATAGGAAGTAGACTTAGTCTTCTCTGTGGGAATCTGAGAGCACTGTTAAACTTTTTTTTTCAGGCTATGTTAAAGGTAGTATATATGAATTAGCAGTTTCAAACTAACCTTAACCGAATTACAGACAAGGCGAATGTTATTTACTCTAAGTTAAAGTAAGCGGGGGGTTTGCTAAAAGCTTTGTAAATAGAGCGGCTAAGTAACGTGTCAACTTGGACAAAGACGACTGTTTCCCGTCTTGTGTGACTCACGCATCTATCGATTTCGAAACCCGAGGGCCCTTGGTTGCTTGCTAACTGGAAATTATAAAGATGTTAACTTTACGATTTTTCCTTGAAGCGACAGTTTATGGTTTTTATTTTTAACTAGAAGGACAACTTGCTTTTAGATTTTAGACTAAAGTTTAGTTTTGTTTATTTAGCCAGCGTATTGTTTTAAAATATTTTTACTCAAATGTTTCTGTTCTAATTTGTTACAGATTTTAATCTATATTGAAGTTTTTCTTTTGTAAAAACAATATAATGATATTGATAAATTGATTGTTCCGAAAAAGAAACAATTGAAGATTGAACAGTTTGTCGCCTGTCGCAAGAAACAATTAATTTAACTTGGCCTAAAACAGATAAAGTAAGCAAACAGTTGCCGACAAAGATTCTCGGCTGTGACGAACTGGCGCGACTTAATTTATATACGTAAACTGTATTAGAATTTACTATGATTAATATATATAGAATTACGTACGTTAGAGTACGGAACCCTAAAAATTAACATTATAACGAAAAAAAATAAGTAATCTAGGAAAATGAAGCAATCTAGATACAGAAGTTACTTTAGAAATATTTTTCTCTTTAATTACACAATTATTTTCAATATACTGTTAATTGAGTTCGTATTGCGATCACTTGATTTTGGTACTTGACACAATAAACTAGAGAGTGACACAGTTATAGGCTTTTGTTTTGTTATCGATCGGATGCCAGGTGAAGGCCGGATCATATTCAAAACTATGTATAGTTGCGAATTTTTTTTATTTCTAACGTATTGTTAGTATCGAAGGATATAATTTATGTTTTTACACACCCTTTGTGAACAAAAATTAAAGTAATTTATCTAAAAATATTTTTCATTCGAAAATCTTTTCCATGTGATTTGTCCGTGTCTTCAGAAGCCAATAAACAATGTCCTGTCTAACTCAATCATGCGGTCAGTGCTTTGATCTCCTGCTAAGATTCGGTCCAATGTCACCGATCGTATATTGTCGCCCGAGATGACTCTGATACCGTATTATACTGTAGGGTCATGTTACATTTATATTTTGATAGCTTTATTTAAGTATGTGTTATATTCAAAGATATAATAAAATTCAGTTTTTCAATGTGTACCTGGTCTTATCTGATATCATTTATAAGCTTACGACTAGATGAGACAGATATGGAGTAGAAAGTGGTGGGGCGCCAAAAAACTGTTCAAGAGAAATCGTTCAATGATTTTCTAGCTTTGTTTTCATATTAATTAGAGGGAACCCGTTGAGCAGGTCTCTGTACAAACTTCCGTTGTTTGGTTGGACTATGATTTAAGATTTTATGAGCACTTTGAGTAATTGAAATTGTAGATGATTTTGACAAACAAATGCTCAATACATCAGTGGATTTCTTAAGTATTGATGATACATTCTCATAATTGATGCTAACCTTAGATAATGCCTTAAGATCGATGATTGATTAATTAGATTAAGTTAAACAGACTTTGTGTACTTAACGATAATTGAAACCATTTGTTTTAAAAAAAACTTTAGTTTCTGATTAGATTGAAACGAAATTTACTTATTGTATTCTTTTCAATGGTAACAAGAAAAGCTCGTGTCAAGGTTTAACGACCTAACAAATCATTACCGAGCTCATTTCAAACGGACGAGCAGTTCCGTTCTAACCACAAAACAGATCACCAACGACGCCGAACTAAAACCGATACCTCTATGATTGTTTTGATGACGTGCCTGCCGACCGTTTAGTGCTTTTTGTCGATAAAACGACCGCAAAACTACAGTGCGGAAACGAACCACGCTCCCCGTAAAAACTTTGAAATGCTTCGAAATAATATATTGTGTATATTAAAATGACAGACTGATAATAGTACAATTATCAATAAACCGATTGAGAACTAAAGTTAAAATTTAACGCACATTAACAACTCTTAAATTAAATATAAGTTATAAAAACAATATTATTTATCTCGCTGTACGCTCTTTATATATACAGGCTGATTCAAACTCTACGCGATACTAACCTATTTTAAAATACGAAGTAAAATTTATTCTAAGCATTGAATAAGATCTATAGAATAATGACAATGCTTCATCGATGGCTGCTTCTAGTTTAAAATAAATACATAGACGCAGTTGATCAGGCCGCAGAGGCGCGTGTCATCTGACTGCGGTCAAACTTTTGTTCTTTTACTCCATCGTTAATGCGGTTTGCACCGGCTGTAACCTGTTCGAATGGACATAATCTATTTTGTTACAATTTCATTATTGTATTGTTTCAAATTTGATTTGAAATTATTAATAAAATTGAAAACTGGAATAAAATATAAAACTTAATTACGAATAAAAATTATAGGATTATAAAAATTGTTTTAGTAATTAAATTAACCAATGTTACCGGCATTTTTATTTAAAATACAAATGAAATACAATTTAAAAAATGTTATAATTATAAATTTATAGTTATAACCTAAACAAGAAACGGAAATTAAAAACATAATTATGTCATACTTTTCGAAGCAAAAATGATAAGTAACAATAGTATGTTATTAAGAATTAGAATAACATTAATTAAAACGATAACGTGTTTCCGTCCAACAAGGCGGTTTCTGAGAAGTTAGGAAACAGTAATTATAATTTGTTGATCATAAAATGAGCATAAAACGCGTCGAATAAAATATAAGAAAACAAAAGACGCAACATTTTTAGGTTCCTCCTTTTCATATTTGCATACGTAAACTTAAATTTATACGTAAAATTAAATTTTATAAATAAATTAGTCTTCAAATGAAAGCAGTTCCGATTCAAGTAATTTTCTTACTCTTTTTTTATTTTAATTGTTGCTATATTTGTATAATTGGCATTCCTAGTACGATAGGTATTTTTATGTTATAAAAAGGGTCTTGACATACACACGGACGGACAACAAAGTGATCTTATAAGTTTTCCGTTTTTTTCTTTTTCGAGGTACGGAATCCTAAAAACAAAAGAGCAATGCCACACAATTACGTATTTATCGATGGAGAAGGGGACGCTCAGATAGAACTCTTTTTGGTCGAAACGGAAAGGTAGGTATTTCTTGTATTATCCGACTTGCATACTCATTCCTAGCTAGATTTACAATGACATCATTTTCCGTGATCCAGGTCCATCAATGAACGTGTGAAAGCTGTGTGCATCGCTTACTCGCTCAGTTACCTGTAAGTACAAATTATCATACGACAGACCAGGTCTGCGGTTTGACTTCGATTTTATCGCTTACTATTCAACTGACATGAGAATGCCGTCATGTTAATTTGTCATTATGACTCAATGGCGTAGTCATTCTTGAATATCCGCGTAGACTTAACTGATATTTGTCACTGGTGTTTTGAAGTTGATTAAAGTATCTACTGGATACATACGGGTAAGGTTATCTTGTTTGCGTCTATTCAGATGAAGTAGCGCTAAAATTAGATTTAATGGTTTAACCTATAGTTTTTTTTTTAATTCATATATTTTTAATTCTTAGATAATGGTTTTTTTAATTCTATTAATCTATGGACGCCTTATAAACAGCCTTTTGGCCAGTATATTTTGGTTTTTGATTCATGGGAACATACACTTTAGTGTACATCGTTCTAAAGGGATGATGATGACAATAAATTTACATTATAATAATGATAACACATAATATTAAAAAGAGAACAAAGTTTATAATAAAGTATAGCTAATAAAAAGCAATTACTGCTTTGCCTTAATGCGATTAGCAAGTCAACATACGTCATTCAATTTGTGAAATCGCAAAGCATCGAGGCAATCATGACCAGATACAATCTTAAAAGCTTTAACCATCCTTCGACATCATTGAGGCAAGTCATCTGGCTTATGAAACAAAGCGCACGTGACTCGCAATGTATGATTTGCAAAACTATACAAGACATGAATATCAAATGAGCTGGTTTGTCCATGTGAAAATTGATCACGTAAGGATTTAAGAAAATCAGAGTTACTCATTTTACTTTTGGATTCATACTTTTCAATCATGCAAATAAGAAAAGAATGTATGGTTATTATGCTCTAACATATTATTTTTAACGATTACAAGATATTTGGGTAACTGATAAAAGAAAGCAAGGAAATGGCCAATTGAAACCAAAAGTTACTAAAAAAAGCGATGCTAAAAAAAATATGATAAACCAACATCATTATTTAATCGATGAAATAAAAATTTCTTTTAAAAAATTATAAATTACTCAGTACCCATGGTTTGTGTTTAACCAAGTTGCTGCTTCGAAGAAGATTGTATTGCCTTATAACATGAATTTGCGTGAATGTTTCATTCTGAAAGTTTAGCAAGGGCGATGTCACGTTTAGCCCGCGGTCCGCACCGCTCATGAAGATGTAATGAGAGACTGACGGACTTTATTTCGGGTCGCAGCTGCACTCTTGTTTCGTTGGTCGACTACATTTGTATATAAAAACTGTAATCCCCGATTTAATTTGGACGATTCAATTTTTATTTAGTACTCGCAGGCACCATGTGTTCTCGTTTCCATCACGTTTATCTGCATAACTTAAAATCGTGCTGTAGTTTTTGGAATAATGCTAAGCTTGTCTTTCGTTGGATTTTGTTTTCAAGTCAGGAATGCTTAAGAAATTCTTTGAGTATTCTGCTAGCATAATTTTTGAATTTCTTTTATACTTTATCTTATAGTGTAAACTTAAAATTCATTGTAAAGAGTGTCATAAATACATTTAATAAAATACGGGTGTAGGCATAATAAAATATGAAATATGATGAAAAAGAATAGTCCTTTTTTCTCTCTTGTTAAGCAGCTTGGCACTCGATAAATTATCTTAAGAGAATAAGGATCGAAACCCTTCGAAAGGGTGCGGGCAAGAGTCAATATTTGCAAATATAAGACGCTATTCAGATGCGCGACACGATCTTGTAGTGCGGGAGTCGGCCGCTGCCTTCTTATGCAAATCTCATCATATCTCAGACTATACACTAAAAGGTTTATTTGACAATCTCCTTTTGAGTCCTCGAAGTGGGCGTATTAAATATTTCATAACTACCCACTTGCCGAGTGCATTATAAAAGCTTATTCTGGAAGAGTAAAATTGTACACTCAGTTTACGGATTTATCTAATGTAGCGAAGAATTACGACTTTTATAGATTTTGCAAAATAAAAAGGAATATGTGGTTACATCACCTTTTCAAATTGCCTGAGTTACTGAAAAAACACGCGCGCTTTTAGGTTATCGCCGTATCTTGTCAGAAGCTTTCAATTAACGTCTTTGCAAACGTTTTTAAAAAGAATGTTAGAATCCTGTACGCTTCTAAAAATGTGTATTGAAAAAAAGTATTGAAGTATTGAGATTTTTGAATGGATGGAGCTAAATAGTTTTAGCAAAACAAATATTATCTGCAGAAATACGAATCACTAAAATTCAGTGTATTTTGCTCAATTCTTAGCAGCGTACTAACCCAGAGTATCTAAAAGGTCTTATTACTATCATGTATAACTAACTAAAAGGTTTTTATTTTATTAATCCATACTACTAATTATGTATGCACTTATTTTTATCTAGTTTGAAATAAAATGTAGATAAGTAAAGGTACGTTGACAAAAATTAGCTGCCCACGTACATCTCATGTTGTTTAGATAAAATCCTAGTCACGATTCGACGACAAACGCAACTAAATCACATGATACCCTTGTATAAAGCATCAACTTTTGACCCGGCACCCCACCTGTTGAACTACGAAAAGCTTTTGGTCACGAATAACGCTATCGAATATTTCAACAGCCATTGTTATTGTCAAGGGTGAGAAGATAAGTTAATAATATAATGATATATTATTGTGCTCTGATAGTTGTTTTAACATTTCACGCGGATATTACGATATACTAACAATTTCTATTAACATTTCTCTTATGAATCTTAACACCAGTTTACTAAAGGCTATAATTGATTGTTTTGGTGTCTTTTTGATTTTATATTTATCGTTTAATGTCAAAATATGAAGTCCCTTTTCTTTAGAAGTATTTTATTCACATTAGCGTTTAAAATTTAACATAATTTGAGATTTCTACTTAAATTTATCATATAAAGTAGGGTTATAAATGGTGATTATCTGAAAGAGTTACGTATACTTTTGTTCGTGTTATTTTCTTGGTATGTTGGTATATAATTTATTTAGTTTCGCAGTTAGCATTTTTGTGTAATAACATTAGTCTGTAATAGTATTTGTCGTTGCCATTTTGAAAACTGACAAGATCTAGAAGATAAGTTTCTTAAAGTAGTTTTATTCTTTTTATCAAGATTTCTTTAATACTCGACCCGTATCCTCGCGTGGGTGTTATGAAAGACGAGTAAAGTTATTTATAAATTTCTATATTATGGATGAATTTATAAATCCTCATTGTGATGATGGTGGTCTATATTTTTATTTATGTTTTACTAAAGACGCTTGCTATCGAAAGCTTGAATGAATAATTTTTCCTGGTCTTTTTATGAAACAGGAATAGCGGCAGTGGGATGAAAACCGGTATTTAAGTAGTTATTTTTATGGTTACATACATTCAAGATTTTTTTTTATTTGTTCTAAACAAGAAGATTGAAGATATAATCAGCAATAGTCTGAAGAATGATTCGATTTAACAAAACTGGTACATATTTTCATGTAAAACGTTAAACCTGATTCCATAATTCATAACACCAGGAAAGCAGCAAACAAGACATCGGTATGTTACCTCATTGTTATGTAGAGTCGATCACGGATGTCGACCCGACACCTCTGATGTTCCGCAAAGAATAGATCATAGCGATTATACGTGCTGATCGCGATTGCTTTACAATTAGAGATGCATAGCGACACATAACAATAGGAAAAGTACTATATGAAGCAGCAATTATGACCAAGGCGCTAGTCGCATGCCAAGTGAATGAATAGCTCTACGTCTTGGCAAACGCCCCGGGGCGTAAGGATTATACTCACTGGAACACTTTCCTCGAAAACATACTATCCGATGCCAAGTTTTCGACTGATTAATGATTTTATTGAGTAAAATATGTGTCAGTGGTAATGCTCTCTAATGCCTCTGTTGAATAGTTTCCCACCATGCGAACAGCATTACAAGGCGTTAAGCATTCACGCGGAAATATCTTTACTAAAATTACATATAAAGAAGAATTCTTACAGATAACTTTTTTGTTTTTTTTTTATTTCAAATTATTTCATGATTTATATTTTAAATTTGGACAACCAAAATCAGATTTTTCGGGATATTTCGGTTTCACTTTTAACACGCTCACACCTTAACAGTATGAGTGAGCAAAAATGTACACACGTCTGAAATGTTACTTGAAGAAAGTTCAAAACTTCATACTTATATTATAAATGCGAATATTTGGATGGATGGATGGATGTTTTCTTGAAGGTATTATTAGAACGGTTAAACAGATCTCGATGAAATTTGGCTACATATAGAATGTAGTTTGGAACAACACTACCAATTATATATTGTTTTATAACCGTTTAGACGGAGTCGCAGGCGGTAGCTAGTTTACAATAAAAGCAATTTTGAGTTATTAAGTTTTTTCACAATGATTTAGAGAAGAAATGTAATTTCTATCTTTCAAGCACTGTTATCATACAATGTGACAATCTCTAAAGCTAATGTATTTTCTCGCTCCATAAATCGAGTGCGCACTAGGTGGCAGCATCCTACTCCGCTAAGAGTGTATTGATGTTGTTTGCCGTTGTACTTACCACGTCCTAGAACCGTTATGCAGTCTTGACTTAGGTACACATCGCGCGAGACATTTTACTTCACAGATACATTTGTGTGTTTAAGTTTAACGGTGTTGAATGTTTGTCGCATCCACTCTTGTGTATATGTGATTTTGAGTAAATTATTTCGATTGAAGTAAACTATGGACTCGAGGATATCGTCTGTATAAATTATGAAAAAAAGTGTATCGATTACCAGTTCATGTTAGTTAATATTACAACTATATTTATGGCCAGAATTTAGATATATATCTTGGGCATAATAAAATTAGGGTAACAGTAAAGGAAAAGAAGAAAAAATAGAATAAAAAGGAATGGGTCAATGACGTCATCACTAAATGAAACAAAGTCTCATAGTATTTTCTAAGACTGACAGTTATCTGCATTAAAAACGTCATAAAAAAAGTTAATTAAGG